AATGAGGACTGAGTGGGGGGGTCATGGTAATTCGTAATGGGAGTTCAAAAAATTCCACCAGCCCCCCCTACCTCGTAAAAAATGAACAGTCCCTTATCGTCAAAGAGCACATCAATGATATCACGGGATCCGTTCTGATTAATCTTGTCACGAACATGACAACTATATTTATCCAAATTCACGAGAGGACTGGAGCTTTATGGACTTGCTGATATCATAAGGCAAAAGCCAGAAATACGCAAGGCACTATTTGTGATGGGGCATGAAAAGGATGTTGATGCAAATTATGTGTTTCCCCTTATGAAACCAGTTTATTCTGTGGAGGGGTCAACTAGAAAGGAGGTTGAGGGGTCTGTGATGGACAGCTTTCGAGACGTTTTGATATCTTTGGAAGATGAGCAGAAAATCAGTGGATATACTGAGGCTCTAACTTGGAATTATGATGACGGTGAAGACAGGAGAAGTGAAAGGCAGCAAAGTGACAAACAGCCGGCGGAAGAATTTCAAACAGCATATGTTTATGTGGCCGGTGTCTTAGGTTGGCTTACTAGTCAAAGACACCGACCCATTGATGGGGATCCCCTCACAATTATTGTTAACTTTGACCACGATTGTTTGGATCGTAACCCAAAGCACACTATCTGTTTTCCACGTGTTGCAGCACGTGGAAGGGAGTTAACTCTTCCAGTGTGTAACATGGGTGACACAACAATTTCGCCATACTTTCCTTCTCGCATACTGTAAGGGCCAATCTTTTTTAAGGCCGTAGAGACCTGCAGCATTTCTTGGTTTCTAGCTAAGTCCATTGTGTGTGTTTCATAAAATGGTCATATTCATGCCATTGAACGTGCAACTGTGTTAGTTAAGATTGTGGTTGCAGAGAAGGCATTTTTATTCTTTACATTTTAAAGTTCTTTCTCTGCTTGATGATGGTCCATAAACTACAGTGTAAAGTATAGTGGTTTTAAGGGAGGAATGAAGTGGAATGAAATAACTCTTCCCCCAAACAACTTACTCTAGTACATGTGATTGTGGCTTGTGCACCATGTACCAAGTCCCAGGTGACATCATGAAGCACACAACAATGTAGAACAAGCACACTCAAACTACAACAAACAAAATGCACTGGAAGAAAAGTAAAGAGTAACAATGGATGTGGTCCATGGTGTACAAGTCATTATTGTTAATGACATGTACAACATCAAGCAATAATTTCTTCTCAAGAACTTGTAAACCAAGTAATTGCCTCTTTGCTAATACCATATGTTACTTGTTTGTTTTGTTCACGTTTCCTGGGCTAGACTCAGTGGGTGCGTAGAGTTAAAAACTGGATTTAAGGGTAAATATGATCATCCGTGAGAAATTGTAAACCTTTGTGAAGGATGTTTTGCTTCTGTTAGAAGAGAGGTTGTGTTTCTCAATGAAACAATCTGATTGACATTAACAAATATTATGGTTAAGAGAAAGGTTTTTTCCTGACCTCGCATCTTTTACCCTTTAGTGGGTCTGTAAAAATGTGTTATTGTAATTTCAATTTAATAGTTTTTAATTCTTTATAAATTGAAACAGAAAACTTTGAAGTGAGCAAGCCATGTTAAGTTCCTTTTCTGAGCCACCTTACAGAAGTATTGACTGATTTACTGAAAAAAAAAAAAGAAACAAAATTTAAAAGGCTTCTGCCCTAGGCAAACATGTGTCACATCGAACATGTTAGTTATTGAAGGTCTGGCACTGGAATAAAGTTTCGTTCTATTTGTTGTTACCCGGGTGAATGATGTAAGGTTTAATGCCGCATTGCCTTCAATCAAGTTTTATTGCATTTTTCGGTACTAGGTTCAAACAATTGAATTTGTTTGGTGGCCTGAGCAAAATGTTAAACAAATGCACATGCAGAAAACAAATTGCTTAATGGTGTTTAGTAAAGATTTCAAATCCATTTGGCTTCCTTATTTGACATCATAGGACAAAGTAATACAACAGTGTTGGTGATGTTGGCTATGTATGTCCAAGGCTTTTGGGCCTGTGTTCACGTCAACTCACAATAAAAATGTTCACCCTGCCCGCTTCAGTTGGGTAACAGTTCATGCCACGCAGTTTATTAACTTGTTTAGTTACTTGCTTTAGGTGTGTATTTTTTTAATTTCTTTAAAAATTGTTGCTCATTTTAGTGCATTACTGACAAAGTGATGCCTAGTCTTCAAGCAAATATATATAATACATGCAACACACACTGCACTTGACTCAATACCTTATATATGTATGTGGTACGAAACTAAATGGTAAAAAAATGCCAAGTCAAGTCTACAGTTGATTTATCCATCCTGTTGTTATTATTTATTTATACATATGAATTTATATAACATAGGATGAGTAAATCAACGGTAGACTTGACTTGGCATTTTATTACTCTTTAGTTTCGTAGTATACAACTAGTGTAGCACTCATCAGATAAGATCGCCAAATGCCACCCTGCAACACGACACAAATTTATAATACACGTACAACCGTTGGAAATTTAATACTATCATTTCTACAGAGGATGAGCGGTGATCTGTTATTCATTTTTTCTTTCACGCACACCGTGTCATATTTAAATTTAGTCTTTTCCATTTGAACATTGTCAACTGCAATTGCTTTGTTTCAAGACCAGAATCAAAGTTACAGTAATAGAATACGACAATGGAATGGTTTTCAATAATTATTGTGTTGTGAAACGAAAACCAAAGTATTACTGTGGGAAATAACCAACCAACTGAATCAAGCAATCAGAACTTAAGCAAATACATGTGGCCAGCGCCAAGTGCCCGAAAACATGTGCGACTGAGTTGGTTTCCATTTCACTTCTGCCAGATTGGTCGAGAAAGTAACACGATTGTATAGCCAATCACAGCGTGTAGTTATGAAAAATTTAAGTTATTACAGAATTCGTAAAAACATAACAACTTTCTTTAATTTTCCAGACATGTTTCGACGGTACATCCGTCATCTTCAGTGTTACATATTTTGAAATCGCCGTTGAATTTAAAGCGCGCGCGATCTTACAAAGTTCGTTACATTGCGTTGTCAATATTGCATACTAAAACAAAGTTAAATGAGTGACGCTTAGTTCTTTACAGGGAGAGAGTCAGGTTAATGTGTTTCACCTGCTGGTTGAGATCGGGCTTCTCCCATTTTATAAACATGGATTGTTTAAGCTTCACCTGGTACTTAGTGGCTGCAGAGTCCAGGATCTCGAAGCAATCCGGTGTGCAGGATGCTCTACAAAACTCTGAACCCTGCAGATGTTTAAAAACGTTCGAAGACTTGTCTGAAAGTAAGTGCTCGCGCACTCGTGTGGAGAAGTGTCGGCTGGTTTCACCAACATAACAAGCATTACAACTTGCACACGAAAATTTATAGACCACACGCGTGCGTAACCCCTCAGGGACAGCA